GCTCCTATGACTTTTGCTTTGGTTAGTTCGGTTTTTATTTGCATTTCCTACTTCCACGCTTGAGAAACAGACAAGTGGGACTTTTCATTGCCTTAAGGATTCTGCAAGTTTTAATTGATTTGAGTGCATGCTTTGCCTATCCTCTTGTTTATGTTCTAATTCTAGCTATGTTCTTGACCTTCATTAATGATGCGGATGAAATTCATCTTTTCGGCTAATTTATACCTTGTTTGCTTTAATCGAGCACTTTGCCCACAATGATGTACTGCAGACGTGTCTCCCTTTATTGATGGCCTTGCTCCCTGTCTGTTTTTTCTGGACAGAAAATTAACTAGATTTTATTCTTTATTTTTTATGTCGTCTTTGACAATCGTCTATCTCGTTGGTCAAAAGATTCATTGAAAGCAGGCTTATTACCGCAGAGTTAGTCAGTAAGGTTGGATCACTCTGGTGAAGTCTGTTTAACCCTGCCGTTAGTCATTAATCCGTATTCCTTGACTGCTTTTGTACTCCATTTCCAAGTGGGATTGTGCACCCAGGCTTCATCGCACATAAATATGCAATCCACGAAACTTAGTTCATTGGTTAAGCTTGAGCGTTTGTCGCATTTCTCGGGATGCACTGCCATTTCAAAATTCAGAATATGTCTGACTGATTCGTCGTTCATCCTCGGTGCGTTTTCGCCACTCAGGCATCTTGTTGTGACTAGTGCATCCTTCGCCGAAACGTACTTCAAGTCTTCTGTTATTTGCGGAGCTTACATCGATCAGAAGATACAGCATTACCTCCTAATTCTTGCATGTTGCTACTGTTTTCTGTCATCTCCGTGTAACACCACCTCGCATGAGGTTCGGTGCTTCTCGACTACTCATCCATTTGTTAGTGAGTTTAGAACTCGTGTGATTGTTTTTTGGCATCTGTGGAAGCGGAAGTTCCGGATGGACTTGGCACCTAATATTAATTATTTGAGGCAAATCAAAATCGAGTGATATATTGAGTTTCCGGGAGATTTGCAACTGAATAACGCTTATTATTTTCATTCCCGCAGATTTGGCTATTTGATCAGCGCTCCTGCCTTTACACAACTACTATTGACACGGCAAAGGTGGCCTCTCCTTGCGAGTGTGATGCCTCGAGTCTCACCGAGGGAGTGGTAGTGATGGCTGATCGAACTCCTGTCTTGAAAGTGCTCTACCGACTTCGGACACCTCTCAGTCCCACAGATTCCTCAAAGTAGGTTTCACCTGCTTTTAGCCCGTTAGGATTTGTAAGCAACACGAATCGTGACTAGTTTGAGTGACCCTTTATACCGTTTACCTTATTTACGGGCAATTTGTTTATTGTGAAGTGTGTGTTTTGTCGCACAATTAACATGGCTTGAATCATGACCATATCCTTTAAAGTCCTAACTACTCCTTGATGCATTTAATGGTACAGTCACCTGCGCCTCAAAATTGAACACTTCATGTGCAGTAACTGCCGCTATTCAAGGGGGTTATGACTTTGCCCATTGTAAATGTGGCTGCCAGACATTTGGCTGTTCACTTCTCCTACTGATGATCCTAATTGGACGACCGGTCACTTTGGACTGCTTTTTTTTCTGGTTGCAGAACAGTGGATCCCCTCTTTGATGAGTGGAGTCGAGACTTTTCCGTGGGTCATTTGCAATTACCGCTGGAAACCTGCACACAGCTGGCCACATGCCTGACTCAGGTAACCCAACGTTTGGCGCCGCAAGTGCGCTCTGGCAAGGGACGCACGGAGGGCTTTACTGTAGGTTTGAGTGCAGAATTTAAGCTGATTTTGGCAGCCTAAAGA